GCTATTATTTAGTTCATTTGAATTTCATGATCATTTAAGAAATATGGAGCAGAAGGGATGTTTAAAAAAAATAATCCGCCTTTGTGTCCACATTTCATGACATTTTTATGTATTTTTTTATCAACAACTTGCTGGTTATGTTCCAATGATTTGTAGATATATTCATTTTTAGCAGGGGGGTCCCATGGACCTGAAAAAATGGTTGACAAAGGCGGCTTTACAAAATCTATAGATCCATTTGTATTTTGTAGCCCCCCAAGGCCTTACGATCTCAATATAAAGCAAAAATTTGGGGAAAGCTTTATTTAACTACCATTGAATGTGTTTTTGGATTGTGTGTGGAAATGTATCAAAACTGGAGCAGACAGAATCTGGAGCAGCTGTGTCTAGCAAACAAACAGCTCCTCTCTTCAGTTAAGATTTGAAAATGAGAGAAGCTGATTGGTTGCCATGCACAGCTGCTCCAGGTTTGATAAATTCCCTTCTATGTATATATACAATTTGTTAGATTGTGTAGGCGCCATCATATTCAAACTTCTTTTCCCTACAATTGGGCCAGTCTTATTTCAGTTTGTAGGGAGTGTAGACCATATTTACTTGCACTTTGCATATGGGAACCTGGTGTGCTGTTTAAAAATAAAGTTCCTATATATTTTTTTTGTGCACTGGTAGCCCATTAAAAAAAATGAATGGGCAGCTTTACCGATTATCATTACTAAATAAGCAGATATGAAAGACCCAAATTAATGCAGCTCTGTAATCATTAAGGATGAACTCTGGGCAGAATAAGGCTTAACCCTTGCAGTGGGGCTACCCCTGCATGGCAAGGGTTAAGTGCTCATTTTCTTCCAGGGTCTAAAATAACAGACTGTTTTATTCTGCCCAGAGTTCTTTAATACATAATTAAACATATATTTTTTTTAAATGTAAGCAGTGTCAGTACCTGACTTTTACCTGATATCAGCCTCTTGTAGGCCCTGGACAGCAGGAATGTGACAGGAAGAGGCAGCACAAGAAGCCAAATGAGTTCATCTGTTGCCAAGAAGCATGCTGATAGGAGAAGAAAGTGGAGAGACAGAGAGATGAGCCCATTACTGTGCTGCTCCTCTTTTCACTGTACACTCACTGGCTGTGGGTGGGTCCAGAGTGACCTGAGCTAAGAAAAAGTGGGTTGGCCTTTAGGCTGAGGACATTTAATTGCAGAAAATTAGTGGGGTGGGGAGAGAGAAATCAGTGGACTGGAATTAATTTCTATGTTATGTTTGGCTGGAGCTCTGCTTTAATGTAATGCACATTCATGCACCAGACAGGTGTGGAGGGGCCTATATTGGCCCATGTCACTTTAGCAGCTGCAGCTGTCAGATTTCCAATTTATTAAAAGTCCATGATTTTAATGCTGGTTATTCACTGAGTTAAAATTGCTTTTTGTCAGTGGACACCTGTGATGCGGAGGTCATCTGACCAGAACCCACTGAGAGCTGACCATCGTGTGACCTGACCTCCGTTCAAAACAATTTGACCTACTACAGTATTTTCCCTGGAAGCGTAAAAGAAAAGGGAGCGACATAACTGAAGTCAAAACACAATCATTTTTGATGGTCATCAACCCTAGGTTTAATCTGATCCTACCTGTTCAATTTTTAATAACTAGCTTAGCGAGGGTGCCGTACATTATCAATTTGTATGTCACCCCCATCAGAGAGTATATGCTCAATCTTTATTAATTCATGAATAAAACAATTATTTACTTGTGTTTCTGTGATGCTTTATTTACATGTTGCACCCGTCTATATATATTTTTCCATTTTGAGATGAGATGCCTTCTTGGCTTTTTATTCCTTGTGCTATATCTCAACTATTGCTTATGGAATAGATAAGATATAGCATAAGGAAGTATTTCTATCCTCATACACCGATCAGCCATAACAGTATGATCACCCACCTAATATTGAGTACATCCCTTTTTGCTACCAAAACAGCCTTGACCCGAGGCATGGTGTGGTATCTGGCACCAAGATGTCAGTAGCAGATCCTTTAAGTCCTGTAAGCTGCCAGGTGGGGCCTCCATGGCACAGCCTACAGGTACTCAATTGGATTGAGATCAGGAGAATTTTGAAGCCAAGACAACACATCAAACTCATAGTTTTGTTCCTCAAACCATCCTTGAATAACTTTTGCAGTGTGGCAGGGCAAATTTTACTTGCTCATGTACCCATTGTAGGCGCTTTTAGTACTGGACACAGGTCAGCATGAGCACCCTGACCAGTCTGTGGCTGCGCAGCCCCATATGCAACAAACACTGTGTGTTTAGACATCTTTCTATTGGAACCAGCATTATTTTTTTCAGCAATTTGAACTACAGTAGATCTCCTATTGGATCAGACTACACAGGCTAACTTTCGCTCCCCACATGTATCAATGAGCCTTGGCCGCCCATGACCCTATGGCCGGTTCACCAGTTTTCTTTCCATGGACCACTTTTGATAGGTCCTGACCGGGAACATCCTACTGGAGTTGCACTGACTCAGTTGTCTAGCTGTCTGCTTCCAACACATCGTCAGGGACAAAATGTTCATATGTTGTCTAATATATCCCACCCACTTCCAGGTGACATTGTAATGGGATAATCAATGTTATTCACTTCACCTATCAGAGGTCATAATGTTATGGTTGCTTGGTGTATATCTATATCTTTATGGTATCTAAACAAGAGGATCTTCAAATCTTTAGCTATCTATGTATCTTTATAATATCTGAATTTCATACTGATCTTACTTTAATTTGTCCTGAGTACTAATGTATTCCTCTCTTGTTCTGACTAATACCAATCTATATCTCACATCTGCTCTCTCCCTTCCTTTATTTCATAATTCTCCTCAAGATGTTTTCCAGCAAAATGGCGTCTACAGCCCAAACTAAAAAAAAATACATAACCCAACATGTTTCACCACTTTTGTGGCTTCTTCAAAGTGTAAAAAGAGCCGCTCGGCCAGGATCTGACAACTGGCGTCTCTCTCCACACCGCTCGGCCATCCTGGATGACCGCTCCCTCCTCTGCCTAACTCCCCCCCTGGCATGAGCGCTCCATTTCTCTGTGGACGCCTGCTGCCTCTGCCAATATAGGCGGGGGAGAGCAGCGGGGATCCGAGGAGAAGCTGCAGGCTGTGCCTCCTCTCTACTTCTTCCCGCCCCAATGCCATGGCCTTGTAGAAAATCCGGCTCTGCCACCTGACACCCCTGTTGCCATGACGCCCTGTGTTGCCACACAGCTCGCACACCCCCCCAAAAGGCCGGCCCTGCCCATACCGACATCCTTCATTGCTCTTACCCATCGCCACTCTGCTTCAGTATTTCTCAGTGTCATCAACTCAAAATCACCCATAACTTATGACAAATGGAATGTTTGTTTTTTTGCTGAACACAAATTAGTTGAGAAACAAGTAATGTTGGTTTCTGGGGAAAGGGGATGAAGAGGGGGGTGGGAATGGTGCAATGTATGAACCGTGGATTAATATGCATATTTTCCCAGAAGACAACTCTTCTGAGATAAGAAAGTTCAGCTCCAGGTTACGTAGTACAGCAAAGTGCACTAAATATATTTGAATTGTTAATAAACAGGGTTATTCACAAAAGGGTGAAGAGTTTGGAGAAAGCAGGAGAAGTGAACAATCTAGGACAACATAGCTGAAGTGAGCTGAATTGGAGAATTTTTCTAAATCAGCAATGCTGTCCTAGATTGTTCACTTCTGCTTTCTCCAAACCCTTCACCCTTTTGTGAATAGACCTGAAAGTGTTTAAAGCTAAACTCCGGCCTTCCCTTCAGTCTTGCACAGTTGTACCAGCTTCTCTCCTGCACTGAAATTGCTTACTCTGATTTCACTTCATGCTGCGAGCTTCTCACGATGTGCATTAGAAGCTGCAGCAGGTCTGCTAGAGCCCACCTCATTTCCTGGCTGAAAGATATCTAGCATCATCTAGCCGTTTCCTCCTCAGCCTGACTGTCCCTGGCTGACCCTTTTCATTCTTGGATTTCACTGCTTTTAGTAATGAAGGCTCGGCATTACATGTAGACGAAACCAAGGGCATTGCATAGAGAAGCAGAGAGACATCACTGGGTCTAAAATAAAGTATGTAATAAAAATGGAAGGGTTTTATCTAAAAATTTTGTTAGCATGTTGATAATGGGGGACCTGGCAAGGAAAATATAAGAAAATTACGTTTATTTTAAAGCAGGGGTTCTCAGATGTTTTCTGCTGCCGCTCCTGAAACACATCCTTGTGATTAGAAGAAAAGACCCCCTAAAACATTTTCCCCCCTTCAGAAGACACCCTCCGATGCTCATACTGGCTGACCCTCAGCTATCCTTAGGGCCTCATTCACACTAGAATCGTCCCACGCATACAGCTCCGTGCTGTGTGCAGGGCCATATCGGGCAGCTGCCGGGAAGGACAGGAGATGCGTGTGATTAGTACACAGCCCCCGTCTGTCTCTATGGGACTACGCGGCCGTACGCCCCCTACGCTCACCTCAAGTGCAGGTCCGTAGGGGTGCGTGTTTCCTGGCTCGGACGCAGACAGGATCCATCCTGTCAGCGTACGAGTATGCTCACCTGCACCCGCACGGACGTGCAGGGCGGGTGAGCGTAGGGGAGCGTGCGGCCGCGTAGTCCCATAGAGACGAGATGATCACACGCAGCACCTGTCCTTCCTGGGAGCTGCTCGGTACGGCCGTGCACACAGCACGCAGCTGTACGTGCGGGCCAATTCTAGTGTGAATGAGGGATAACTCTTATTGCTGCTAGGTACCCTGCAAACAGACATCAACTCGGCTATATACAGCCTTGTACACCCTTGTATACAGAGTATTGACATTTCTTCAAATAAATGTTAATTCCATCCCCTTCTGACACTAACACATTGCCCACAAGTTTGAAGGCTAATTGATTAGCCTGTATTTGTGGGAGGAGTCCTTCCCTCCTCTCACACATAAAAGGGGCAGGTAGACTCACCTGGGCACGGCCTTCGTCAGCATGACCCGCCCACCCGGTCCCTTCATTTAAAGATTTCACAGAGTATGCCCCCTCATTGGCATACTGTCCATCCGGATCAAGGCACACCTCAGGTCAGTATTGGGTTACTCGCCCTTATGGCAAATGGATTCCGAACACAAATGAGGTTCTAACCCTAAAAGAAGGAAGGTTTTGGCTGGAGTTGGGATTTTTTGTATATACTGTATAATTTGATGACATTTTCAGCATACTGATAATATGATGTGTTGCTGCCATCAAGTGTTTATCTTTCGGAATTGCAGTTGTCTCAAAGCACAGTGGAGCTTTCCTAGATCTGATGGTATCTGCAAGTCTCACTTCTATCCGCAATCCCAAAAATAAGAGTGTTAGGATAGTGGGTGGGGCTATGCAAATCATTCCATTCTGCTTGTCGTCCAACTGTTCATCCAGGACCGCTTGTATGTACAGCACAGATACAGCCTTATATCATAGAGCAATTTGTTCCAAACAGCATACAACTGTTTCAGGCTTGCTGGCCATCATCAGTGGCCACTGGGAACCATGGCGTCTAGGTTGACTTGAGACAGGCATGTCAAACTCAGGTCCAAGGGCATACAACCGTTTCAGGCTTGCTGGCCATTATCAGTGGACACTGGAAACCATGGCGTCTAGGTTGGCTTGAGACAGGCATGTCAAACTCAGGTGCAAGGGGGACCACAACAGTGGTCAGTACAGGATATTTTTACATCAGCAAAATGATCGTAGTTTGTTGGTGATACATATCCTCAAAAATTAGTAGTAAGTCAAAAAGTTAAAAGTTCCTAGTAAAATGTTTGCTGAAAACAAGCACCAACATTTTTCAAGCACAATACCACAGCTCTAAAAGTATTCTAAACTACTCTATGGGAGCTGTTCCTGGATCAAAGGCACATCTACAACAAATTGTGCCCCTGGCATCCCACCCAGCTCTTGGCAACCATTGATGTCACTGGTTGCCAGGAGCTGGGTGGGATGTCAGCAAGAGCATCCCAGGTTGCTAAGAGCTGGGAAGGCAGATGTGTAAAGGCCATACAGATTTCCCTGCCTGGCTCTAAGCAGCCTCGCTAGCATCCCACTCACATACATATCTCTTTGCCCACTCTGGTTGCTAAGAGCCGGGCGGGAAGATATGTATGGCTCTTACACATCTCCATGCCCCGCTCTCAGCAATCTGCTCTGGCTGGCGTCCTGCCCATCTCCTGACAACCAGTGATGTCACTGACTGACAGGAGCTGGGTGTGACACCAGCTAGAGTGTCCTGGCTGCTAAAAGCCAGGTGGGGAGATGTGTATGGGAGAGGAATGGGAAGCGAAAAATAGGATTTTGGTACTCACCGTAAAATCCTTTTCTCTCCGTTCATTGAAGGACACAGGGAACAGATCGGAGATCATGTACTGTAGGGTAATATCGCCACCTGCAGGAGAAGGACGCTAGGCACAAAAAAACTAAAGACCAATTACAGCCTAGGGGCGGCCCCTGCCGGTGGCCGAACCCCCCACCTGCTGACAAGTCTCCAGTTTTGTAACAAGCAGTAAAGGAGTACACACCCACATAGAGGGGCGGGCCCTGTGTCCTTCAATGAACGGAGAGAAAAGGATTTTACGGTGAGTACCAAAATCCTATTTTCTCTACACGCCCTCCTCGGCCAATCCGGAGCCACGAGAATGACCGGGACGCCTTCCACCGTGACCCTGCGAAGAAGACGCGGCAACAGATACAGCGGAGGGAACATGTAAATCAGACCGTAGCAATCCCACCGTAGCAATCCTTCCACTTCCCGAGCCGCGGCCACACTTCTTGTGCCGCCCTGATGGTTGACGTACGCCACGGCCGTGGCGTTGTCCGACTGAACCCGGACCGGCCGTCCCTGAAGACGGTCCGTCCAATGAAGAAGGAGAGACGGATCGCCCGAAGTTACAGTACGTTGATCGAAAGCCGAGACTCCTCCGACGACCAACGGCCCTGAGCCGTCCAAACGTCCAGGACTCCCCCCCAGCCCAACAGGCTGGCATCCGTGGTGACCACCGTCCAGTGAATGGGAAGGAATGACTTGCCCAACACCAGGGACGGAGACCGAAGCCACCAGACCAGGGAGGTCCTTGCCTCCCGAGGCAAAAGTCAGCTGTCTCTCTTTCACTGACCCACAGAGCAGTGCCCCGCCTTCAAGTGGCAACCAAGGGCACGTGTCTTATGTGCCATAGCCTGGATATTAGAGATATGTAACCCCACAAAAAATGTGTTTTGTTTCTCATCAATTCAGATTTTTATTTCTTTTGTTTTTCGGATTTCGGATCCGAAATTCAATTTGGTTCATTATTCAGATTTCATATCTGCCCAAATTTCCGTTTCGGAAAGAAACACAACAGGAAGTCACACGACCATGCCTGTAATGCAACCCCCAACAGCCAAAAAAAACCCCATCTGATTGGCCAGAGAACAGTCACATGTCCTATTTGTTTAGTTTTAAACGGAATTTGTACAGATTCAAATTTTCATGGAAGGAACATTCAGATTCTTTTGCATTCGGACGCATTCGATTTGGGAAATTGCATCTGAATGTCCAAATTTAACGAAGTTCCTACGAATATCCGTTCAGAACTAAATTAAATTTACATGTCTACTGGATATGCCGCCGTGCAATACGCTGTGTTTGTAAATAGCAGGAGATGCCCAGACTCACATCACTGCACCTCTATTACGTGACTTCCCGGGAAGATAGCATGTGTTGCAGCTGCTGTTCACATGGACAATTATTTTTATTACATGCATTTATATAACACCAACAGCACTTAACATACTGTACATTCAAATCAGTCTCTGCCCTCAAGGAGCTTACAATCTAAAGGTGCCCATACACCTTATAACCATCGCAAGACTCTTGTCTTGCGATGGTTGTAAGCTAATTAAAAGCTTGTACGATCTGCCCATCTTGGACAGGCAGACCGTACTTGTGATCATCGAAAGCCCACCCCGCTGAGGGGCGGGCTTTTCCGATGATTGCAATTCTGAACGGGCAGTGTGCGCTTGCGCACACCGGCCAGTTCGGCATTTGTTTTACGAGCAGGCCACAAACCCGCCGACAATCGTACGATTCTCGGCGGGTTTTCAAACATGCTCGTTAGACAAAAGACATGCGACCGTACAGTAGAAACGGTTGCACGCCTTCCATACACCTTGCGATTATCGTTATTTGTGCAACAAAATCATTACATCTCTTCAATACATGCACATTTTTCCATGTTTTGGTGGTAGTACCAAAATATTCCTGTTGGTCTGCCAGAAATCCAGTGTGCTCCTAACGTCCTGCTTGAGCTGAGAAGACAGTGCCTCTTCTGCATTGAAATCCCCAGCAGTGTTGTTAGCCCTGCCCAGTTCTATTTGCAGGATTACACAACAGTTCCCCTTCATTCTGCTGTCCAGCAGGAGATAATTCAGGCAGAGCTGATAACAATGCTTGGGATTTCAGTGCTGCAGAGGTAGCATTGTCTGCTCACTACAGGAAGTTAGCAGCTCACTGGATTTGTAGCAGGATCAACAGGTATTTTTCTGAGCTTGAAGCCCTTTTAAAGGAATAAACATGGGGAAATGTGCATATAGAAGAGAGATGTTCAATCTTGCCCCCACATACACTTTAACTTTAGAGTAGAAGGCAGCATTTGTCATGTGTGTGTGTGAATATGCTAAGATGCTTTAATGAAATTGGACTGGTAAAGCCCCCATCACCTTTTGTGAGGTGGCTACTAGAAATTTAGTGATTGACAGGGCTGTAGTCAGCTTGGCTGGATTATAGTTGGCATTTATCTGGTTAATTCCAGGTGTCTGGCATTGATTGTACCTACCTGAATGGAGTGTGACTCTACTGTAGTGTGGGGCGGCCAATGAGGGACACTGCGAGTGTATGTGCAGTTCACCAGCCAATCACTGGGTCTCTCTCAACCAGTGTTCCATGCTGGGATAGGGTACATATACTGGAGGGAATTGGCATGTGCTCAGTCTTGTGCCAGCAAAGGGTTAGTCCAGGTTGGGGTGCTGTTCAGCCTACACCCCAGGATAGACCTGAGGCCTGGGGGTGGGGATGCTGGAGTGCGGGAAGTGTTTCCCTGGGCCTCAAGTACGGAGGAAGCCTGTGCCATTGTTAGAGGAGGAGAACCAGGGAGGTGCCAGGAACACAGTGGACCTCAGGAGCAAGTCTGGTGTCTCTCCTGTTAAGGACCTGTGCCCGTCTCTGCTCGTCTGTTACTCGAATTACTATATGCTGTACCACAAATGGATCTACACGGGGATGCTAAAAAGATCCGGTAACTCTGAAGTCTATGTCTGTACCACCCTGGATGCCTAGGATCCCTATACCCTCTCTCCCCAGTGTGAAGATATTAATAAACGTTATTCAGCATTCTACTTCTTGGGTAGATATTAGCTTTGTGGACATTAGAAGAGGGGGGGTTAAATGCTAATGGGGCAGCTGAAGACCAAATCCCCTAGACAACTAGTGATGACCCAGCTTAGTCTGGAGGCTCCTTTGGGGATGAGCGTCAGGGACGTGCGGTCAGGGGAGGCAGGTGAAGCAGAGCCTCACCTAGTATTATGAAGAAAAAAGGTGTCAGCTTCAAGTCTGAAGCTGACATCTTTTTCTCTATTCAGATCGGCTTGTAATAGGTTACAGAGCAGGGAAAGCCTCCCCGCTGTGTAACCTGTAATGGACGGAGCGCTGCCTGTTAATTACAGGCGGCGTTGCATCTGTCATTTGACAGGTAGTTAGGTTACACAGCAGCGGGCTTCCTCACTGCTTGTGTAACCTAACATGGTGAGGCAAGAGCTGTCACAGCCTCTACTCTGTGTTAGAGGCGTGAGCTCTGTGGATGGCTTGGACCAATGGCAAAGAGTCATTGGTCCAAGCTGTCCAATCAAAGAAAAAAAGACCAGTGAGGACATCGATCTCGATGCCTCACCAGTGACGAGCAAGTGAGGGACAGGGAGGCTACTCCCTGTCTCCTCCCCACACAGCATGGTTACCGAGCTGGGGGCGGTGCTTCAACGGGACGGGGCGGTGCTTTGGCGGGCTGGGGGATGGCTCACCCAGCACAGAAGGCACGGCAAGTCACTGGACTCCTCGTGTCGCACGGCTGCATCCGTTCACTTTTATTTTCTCTTTTCTCCCCTCCCCTCTACTGCGCATGCGCTCGCACACTTTCTCCTTCACAGCTGTTAGGGAGCCGGGAGTTCTTCAGCCGGGAGCGAGCGGCGCTGGAACAGGTAAGTAATTAGGTATTTGCTTTACTTTTTTTATTTATTTATTTTAAATCATGGGGCATATATCTACTGCTTGCTAGCAGTAGATATATGCGAAAAAAGAGAGACATTCATTCTACTTTAAGCTGACCATAAGCAATATTTTGTTTGAAAAATTTAATTTGTTCGATTTTCTAATAATGAATGGGGTCAAAGCAACGATCGTCCTTAACCACAGTGATTAAATCAATTGAAGGTGCAGGATAGAAGGTTTTTTTATCAAACAAATACATTCTAACAGTGAATGTGGTTTTTCATTCGGGAAACTCCATTTATTCGAAAATTAAATGTTAAAATGATATGACATTTTGAACTACATTTGTCAAGCCTCTCATGGCCATACCAGTGTATGGCCAGCTGTACACCGACTGTTGTTCTCTCTTATATATGTGCTCCGTCTGACAATGCCTGTATGTAGGTGTGTCTCCCATGGATTGCAGACAATCAGGGGTATTTAATAATTAATTCTGGAAACATACACCAGAAATAACAGCAGGTTGGTATCTGCTGTGCCAGGGTGATTAGACACTTCACAAAGTCACTGTAAGACTTCCAGCAGCATCTCGTGATGTCACAGACCCCAGAAGAGACAAGACACATCCAGGACATGTAAGACCCCCAAGCTCCTCCACAGCTTCAGTTCTCTCTTATCTTTCCACTACACACTTGTTCTGAGCTATATCTTTCTCTGATGAGGCCACCCACGTGTTAGAAGCATTTTAGGCCCCCCTTCTCTTCAACACACGAGACACAGTCTAATCTCCTATAAATCTACCAACAGCTCAATAGTGCCAATTGACTGTCTGATTGGATACGGATTGATTGAGTTAGTTTAGATAGCTTCTCATATTACATTATTTTGGTCATTTTAAAGGATTTTCTAAAGATTTTACAGTCAAATTGTAATGTGCATGGTGAGCATACAAAAGTGCTTTTTTTCCACTATCTGGGAATGCTGCCTAGACCTGGGATGTTTATTATGGGGGCAAATTGACCTGGGTCTGCCTGTGTGGGGCTCCAGAAAGACACTTGCAAGTTATGAATGTGATTGTAATGCATAGATGCCAACGGTTCCGGATTTGTCAGGACAGTCCCACATCTTGGCTCTCTGTCCTGCTGATGCTGTGCCCCGGACCGTGTCCCGGGATCACAGCATCAATCTTATTTGAGTTATTACACATGCACAGTAACAGTAACACAAAAAGGTATTAATCAGGGCTAGGGATCAGGGCCGTGAGTGGGTAGTCCCCGCATATTTAGTAGCCGGGTCTGCACAGGGCTAACCCATAAAGGGGAATGGGTGGATGAAATGCAGACCAGGGGTGGGGTTAACAGTGTCCCAGGTCCCGGAACCAATTTAAGAGCATTCAGCTGATACAGTGATAAGTGGCATTTTGTAACTTATATAAAACTAAGAAGTATTTCTTTATTGAAGTTCACAGCAAATCCAGTATAACAGTGAATAAAAGTATATAAAGCAGCAAATACCAGCACCATGTGAGAGGTTGTAGCTGGTTGGGGGTTTGCGGTGCTGGTATTTGCTGCTTTATACACTTTTATTCACTGTTATACTGGATTTGCTGTGAATTTCAATAAAGTCTGAAGTATTGGAATTCTCTGGATAGTGCGGTCTGTTCGTATACTACTACATTCCAAGGTGGAGACGCACCTATTAGACCAGCTCCTGGAGAGTTCTGATGGTGGCTAAGGAATTGGAGCTGTGAGATTTCCTATGGCTCTACATAAGAATTATTTCTATTGATTATGCAATCTCTGAGTCTTACAACACCTGAACCCTGAAGAAGGGGGAGATTTTTCTGAGCCCCTGAAACGTGTTGTTTTGTATCATCCTGTTATTAACTAATGAGTCCTGTCCTGATGTGGATTTAAACAGGAGAGAGAGTGGAGAGCTGCGGGGGACCTAGGAGATCGACATTAATGGACTTCTGTCGACCATACCTCAGTAACAGAGCAGTCATGTCATGATGTGGATTTATCCAGTGAGATCTGCAGGGGACGAAGGGTATAGATACTCCAAGACTTCGGTTGCCATTCCTCAAAAACAGAGGAGTCATGCCATGATGTGGATTTACCCAGTGAGAGATGTGGTGGGACCAAGGAGATCCACACTCCAAAACTCTGGTGGCCCATTTTTCAGCAACTGAGAAGTCAAGTCATGATGTGGATTTACCCAGTGAGACTGTGGGGTATCCAAGAGATCAATATTCCTGGACTTCACTGGTCCTTTTCTCAACAATGGAACAATCATGTCATATATGGAATTTACTCAGTTACAGCTGTAGGGGGGACCCAGGAGATCAACATTTCCAGACTTCAGTGGACCAATTCTCAGTAGTGGAGCAGTCATGTCATGATTTAGATTTACCCAGTGAGAGCTTTGGGGGACCTAGGAGTATGATTCTCCAGGACTTTGGTGGACCCCATTTCTCAGCAACTTGATGTTTATCAACAATAGGTGCCAAACCAAAGGTAAAAAAGTTCAAAAGTGCCCTTAAAAGTTTACAATTTGTTCAAACAAGAAAACAGGCAACACGTTTCGGGGTAACAACATTCTCCCCTCATCAGTGCTTAGAATGGGAGAAGGATTTGATTAGACTCATAACATACTATAACCAAATAGATCTCTCTATGATTTTTTTTTTTACAGGTACAGGCATTGTTTCTTATTTGACAGGGTCCCTTTAAATCTGACAGGGTCACTTTAACACTTGTTTGTTCTGTATTAAGTGTATTTTGTTTTATATACAGCTGTTGTGCATCACAGTCAAACGCAGGTAAATGTAAGTGTATAAATCACCTTTACACTATTATCAGCTGAAATATTTGTACACAATACAACCACCTGTATGTTTTTTTGGCTTGTGTTCATTTCTCTACCAATGCAAGTATACCAAGGGAGGCGTGAGACTTGTAGAGTTCATTGAAGGGTTTGTGTGCTCACTTGTGTATTATTTGTATTATTGCTTTTATTATGTTTAAGCTGAGACCTGCTACCAGAAAGTTAGCTATTTTCTATACAAGTAGTGTTTGTTAATGGCTGTGAAACTGGAGCCCAAAGCCTCTGAATCCATTATTAAACATCTGGATGTTGTTTCCTAGACGCAGAGAGTTTAGTAGTTGAATAGCTATTGTATATAATTCCTGCATACAGCCACAGGCTGGACAGGTGCAGATGGAAATATTATAATCCGGTTTTAGATCCTTCTCAGTTTGTATTAACTCATTCCTTCTTTATACCATACAGAGACAAACAGTGGGGATCAACGCCTCCCATTCCTCCACAATGCAGGTAATTGCCAAACTCCAAGCACAGTGTGTGTGTGTGTGTGTGCGCGTGCGTGCGTGCGCGCTATGTTACATGCCTGAAGATCTGTAATTCAGGTTGACCAGCCTTGTCACTCAGGCACCCCTGCCAGACAGCATAGCCAGGTCCTAGACGTCTCTGCAAACTTTACTACATTTAGGGAATGCAGCCTGGTCCAGGACATCTCCCAGTCTGTGAATGGAGCACACTGGTGAGGCCATCAGGTCACTTTATAATCCTATCAGAAATGTTAGACAGACAGCAGGCTTACTGGCTTACAGTGCTGCCCTCCCCTCTGCCACCCTTAAAAATCAGATTTTAAGACAAATTTAGGTCATTTGGCAAGCTGTATGTAAAAATAATACATTTCTTTAAAGAATCTAAAACTTGATTAAACTGCGTTTTTACATCTATCTGAAGGTCTACAGACAGTGGCGTCGCTACAGGGGGGCAAGGGGGGGCAATTGCCCCCCCTAGGTTTTCACTTGCCCCCC